ACGGTCGCTTCTCCACTCCAGGACACACCCGCCCTGCGTCCTGATTGGACAGACCATTTAAATTCGGTTGGAGCGGGTTCCCAGATGTATGTGAGTGGAGCTAGGCGGAGCGAGACATGCATCTGGCTGTTGTCAGGTTAAAACTTTTATGCAATTGGTCTGTAGGTTTCCTGGGACGCGTGACCACTACAGTAAAAGCTGTGTCGGTAAACCAGAAAGTGCTCAACAAGATTTTAGGTTATTGTTTCTGTTTCGGTATGTCTCGGGTCCACATGAGATATCACTTCGGTCCGGATCGGGGTCTGCCTATTAATGACCCCTGCTGTATTGTAATCATATCTTGTTGGCGAGGAGTTTTAGCAACAACCCAAAAACAGCTCTGTCCATGTGGACCAGCTCTGTGTTAAATGTTTTACTGTCTCAGAAGACAAAGACCGAACTAAGAGGCATGGGTGAGGAAGACCGGCTGAATCTTTCAAATAGAAAACATTAACAACTGTCCAGCATGGTGGTGGCAGAATCATGCTGCTGGGTTATTTAAATGAAGGCGACATTTGTGCTTTAATGAAAACCAATCTAGATAGAAAGTTCTTTATCAGGCCTCCAATCCACAGCCACCAGCAGGTTTTTTTTCCTTCAGTAGGACAATCCAAAAAATATTTCCAAACTGGTCCTGGTATAAATAAATTTTGCTTACGTTAATCTTCTGGAAAAGCCTTCTTAATGTCTGAAAATTCTATTTTTAAAACTTCTAGGCTGGTCAGAAACCCAAGTAATTAAAATAACTCCACCCAATCTGACTGGACGGGTCAGATACAGCAAGGAGCCACTTTCTAAGCAGATTTTTGTTCTTATATCAACAGATAAGAGGGAGTTCACTGATAGGTTTGGGGTAAACTACATTTTTTAAATTCAAACACTTGTACTTTGCATGTCTTCGTTTTTGTTGCACTCTTTGTGAGATGAATTGTAGAAATGAAGGCGGTATGATAACCAAGAGGGTGAAAAGGATGCATTTTAACATCAGAGTGTCTTCTGTCATGTTGCGTGTGTGTGAGTTACAATATCAAATGCAGCAGCGGATGCAAAAAAAAATAAAAATAAAAAAAAAAGAAAGGAAATCCCTGCTGACATTCCTTGGTTCTTCTTAGACTTAAAGCTTTTAATCCGTTGTCTGGTAACACGACTTTTGTTTTGTTCTTTCCTGATAAAAACTTCAGTCTCGGGGCCCAGCAGCAGGATGTTGATGACTTCTGAAGAGTTTTCCCTGAGCTCAGTGAGAGGATGAACTCTGAACTTTACCCTGAAGCAAACTAACAAACTCACTCTTCTACCAGAAGGGGATCTGTTTCTTCTTTATCAGACTTTTGTTTCCTTTTTTAAAGATTTATACAGTAGCCCCCACAGCAGCTGCCAGGAGGCGAGACAGTTTGTTTACTCAAAGATGAGGTAAATAAGAGCCTGTTCCTGAATCTGTCAGGCTGTGAGGAAATAAATAAAATAAAAAAATCACTGAGACTACGTGTGAGTTTAATCTCATCTCCTGACAGCCCAAGTATGGATCCGTCGGCAGCTGAAACTTTAGAAAATCCCGGCATAAGAGAAGGCGAACCAGCGAGCAACCCGCCGTGCTGTAATAAGCTTCCCCCCAGATCAGGAGGATGTCTGCTTCCAGAGCTGCCTTTCATCCTCGGCGGGGGCCTTAGGCTGCCGAAGAGGAAGCCGTCTCATGTTTGACTTCATATTTCTAGAATCTAACACAAACTTTCTGACTGTTCAAACTTTTATTTCCACCCTCTTTCACACAGATGAAGCCGGAGTGGCGGGAGGCACGGCGGCGAGAAGCAGGGCTGTGAAAATACCACTGGTGATTGAGCCGGCAAACGCAGCCTGAAAAGCTATCAGGAGATCTTCAGGAAAATGACAAGAGAAAAGAGAGTCCTGAAGGGGGAGAGAAGTAATGTCTGGCAATGTGTGGGGGCAAGAAGATGAGAATAAAAGGCTTTATTCCAGTTTGATTTGAGCGATTTCTCACCAGGGGAGGGAGTCCATTTGATGTGAGCAGAAAAAGGGGCCTTGAAACTCTGCAGAGTGATCTGTCAACCAGAGCATTACAGGATCCATCAGAGGAGGAGCAGAGCAGGCAAACGAAATGAGGAAACCCTGAGCCTAAAACCTTCCTTTCAACATATAACTGGCTGATATCAATGCACATGAGAAGACACCAAGATGAATTTGAGAGCACTGGACGAACAGATAGGAGCTCAAACGCAGCCAACTGGAAGGGGAAACGGTGCCACCTATTGGAGAAACGTTCACACTTCACTTTTTCTTTTAAACTTGCAACATAAAACAAACCTGAGTCTCAGTCATTTCAGCTTTACAGCGACTTTTCATGCTTTTTACCTTTTATTCCAAATGAAGATGTAAAATTCAGAAAAACTGCTTCGGAAATCTAAACTTACAAAATCTGAATGTTACAAGATCCAATGTAATACACTTCTCTTTCTGGTTGTTGTTAATCTGTTGTTTTTCTTCATAGACATTGTTTATTTACAAATATGGACCAGTCCCCTTCTCATTCTAATACAATCCACTATATCTGGTGATTTTTTCTGTGCGTTTTCACTTTGACAAAAACTTTGTAAGAAGGATCATGTGCAACTTTTTGTAGAGAGTTGAAAGAATAAACTATGACAGCAGAGGTCAAAGAGCAGCTGACAGAACGTGCCACCCGTCGACCGAGCAGCAAACCGAGGCATGCTTGGTGGGATGAAACTAACCCTTAATACGTCTGAAAAACAGCTGCCTCCCTGCAAAGATACACCTATGAACATTTATTAGTATTCCCATAGCTGTCAGATGGATATGGCAAAAGATTTCATTCTGCAACATTAAACTAGAGCAACACCAGAGGCTTGAATTCCAGGATTTAGAAACAAAAAGGCAAAAAACAAAAAAAATACATAATGGCCCAATTTACAACCAATAATAAAATTACTTGTTTAAACACACTGAATTAAAACAAAGATGCTCAAAAGAGAAGAGCGGTGTGGAAAAGTCCAAGAACTCCCAGAATAGTACTGGTGCTGACTTATTAGCCTCTGGAATCAGGAAGTTCATCTGAAAATGACACCAAACCCGACTGAACCAGCAGGATACGCTGCATGTTGGACTAAAGCAGACTCTAGCAGACTATGCAGACTACTCTAAGTAATAACTTTCAGTGCATTTCTTTTATGTAGAGCTAGACAGCATCGTAACATCAGTGCGTGCAATACTACAGCCGCAGAGGAAGTATTGGACACAATATTTGGTTGGATGGTGAGTACTTTGGGCTGTGCTGATATTGTTAACACATTGTTTTGCTGATATTGTATGCCTTTAGCTGCACAGTGAGGCAACCTTCTTACTGCTGCCTTGCACTAATAAGGTTCAGGGTTCGATGAGGTCTTTCTGCATGGAGTTTTCATGTTCTCCCTGAGCTTACTATTGAGCTCTCCCTGAGACTATTCCTTTTACTCTTGTTTAAAAGAAAAACAAAATTGAATTATGTGAGACTCTGAGGTGCACTAAGAAGAGTTATCTCAGATCATTCTTCCTTATAGCTGTTAGACTTTATAACTATATTTTTCCTGACTAACTTAAAATCCATAAGTGAGTTTCTTGCTTTTATTTCCAGTAAATATTTCGTAGTTATTTGCTGATGTACAAATATAAATGAAAAGTTCTAAGCTGAACATTTCTTTGAATTCCAGTAACTTTTTTCTTATGATGTAAAGAAGCCCTCATTATAGTCCCTTATATCTTCCAGCAACATTATTCACCAGGCTTGTATTCTGGATGCTTCCATTAGCCTGTTTCTACTGCTGCTGCATCTAAATGAAAAAAAGTAATAAAAATCCTTTAAGTGAAGCAAACCAATGCTGCACAGGCACCCATGTTTCCCTCAACATTGTTTAAGGAAGGAGAAAACGATTCTCCAACAGAGCAATTCTTTCTAAAGCATGTTAAAGCATGTCAAGATAACGTGCCCCAACAACAACAAGAAGTCCTCACCAGTTATTATCTAACCACAGGAACATGAGACCAGCAGCAGAAATGAGACAAAGGTTTTTACCGAGCATGTTGAAGATAAAGTCCTTGGCAGTGTGGACCTCTAAGGCCGTCTGGTCTCCAAACTCCCCCTGCTCCAGCAGCACCAGCTCTGACACCTGCGCTGACAGCTGCTCCAGGGTGGCCCCTGAGCGGAAGTCCACCTCGGACAGCTTCTTGACGGGGGCCGGCGAGCGCGGCGTCACCGCGTTCATTAGCGACTCCATCTCTGCAACCCTGCGGAGAGAAAAAAGGAAGATATCTGAGAAACGCTCAGAGATGTTTACAAACTATTCTGTTCAGATTAACAGTTATTGACTAAAAAAAACTCCTCCAATCCTAAAGTTACAAAGGTTTTTTTTTCACAATTACAAGTATCAAACTGTGAAGTAATCTAGGGCTGACACTTAGAGCAGCAATTATATCAAAATTGTAAAAATATACAGAAACATTTTGGATTTAAGATTAAAAAAAACATTTCTTCTGTCATGTGCCCTATCAGAACTCCCCAATTGGAAAAGATTTAGTTTAACCCGATTTAATTTAGTAAAAAATCTTCTTTAAGGAACCTTTGGCTATCTGATTTTTAAACGGAAAAAAATAATAAACAGATTAATTGATTTGCTAAATAATCATTAGTTGGAGACCCAATTTAATCCCAACATTCTTGACCTCTAATCATAAAATTAGAGAAACTAAAATTTGCTCTTTTTAACAAAGTGGTATCTGCAATCTAGCTCACTAAAGATCCAACAACATTTAAGTTAGACTGGTCTGGACTCTGGTGAAACAGGTTCTCAGCAATAAACCATTCTACTGAATAGATCTCAATTGATGACAAGATTATAGCTTTTTATGATTATCTTAAAAATTCACGCAAGTGCATAGCTAAAACAACAAACAAAACCAAAAACAGGTGGACCTGAAGGAGAGAGTACTAAATGGGAAAATAGCTAAATTAGCCAAAGATAATGGGAAAAACCCTTTACTTTGTTTTTCACCATCTAGAGCAACCCTTATTTTCCTTATCAATAAAACTTGTTTCCAGCTGCAAAACATGCATAACCCTCCAAAACAAACATGGCTCATCATTTTTTATAAACATTTAATCTAGATCACTTTTTATGTTTAATCCAAAATAACCTATTTTACTTATGTTCTTAAAGTTGAATGGAATCAAAGCTTTAGAACGAAAAAATATATGTGGCAATTTTAGATTTATATAAAAATGTGTTTAAATGCTTAATGTTCAAAATTAAAAACACGGTTTAGTTTAGTTACGAAGAGCCAGTAAACTGGAGCATATTTATTTTTCCAATCTAGATTATATTGTTCTAGAATTAAAATTTGCTCAAAAACAGCCTCCCTAGTGTGACCCATGCAGCTGTATTTTAGGTGTACAATTATTTTTTTACTGGAAACCTTTCAAAACAAACCACCCTCTTTCAATACTACTAATAACTGCCATTATCCTGACAGTCTGAGATGAATACATGCTGCTTTATTCAAATTAAACTACATCCCAAAAAATATATTCATTAAAATGACAAGTATGATTTGTCACCAAAGACTGACGGAACATTTAAAGTGGAAAGACAAAGTGCGTATATTTATTTTGCCGGGTAGCAGGAAGTGACAAGGTAAGAAAAGGCTCGGAGCAAATAATACAAATTCAAAAGTTACAGATAGAGGTGAAAGAAATGGAGCAGCGTTTATTTTTGACCCAAACAAAGCCTTGGCATTTGTGGAAGAGAAAGATGCACAAAAAGAGAAAACGGGGAACATCAGGAAACGTATCTGAAAGATGGAAAAGACTATTTCTTTTAAGGTTAGCGGTAGCAGTAGAAATTTTAATTATTCTTAAATGTAGAATTGGCCTTTTTCCACTTAACCCCACAATAAACAGATGCTGATCTTTCCTCATTTCTTTACCAGCTTTTTAGGGATCTGTTTTCCACAGACTTTAATCTTTTTCAGTAAATAACAAAAAGTAGGAGGTCAACTCGATTTAGTTTGAGTAAAGGTCATAATCTTTCATTATTCTTACAAGTCAATGCACCCAATCACAGATTAAAACTGAAATGAGTCCAATAAATATACAATTACCGTAAATTACTTCTTTAAAACACTTAAATACTTAGAGATATAAATTAATAAACTGCGGTTAAATGCATATTGCCAAATGTTAACTAAAGGCTTTTATTGCACCACCTTTGAAACTGTTAAAGAGCTTGTTTGTTTCATGTTATCTTAATAATCTATATAAATAGCTTTCATGCTCTTGCATATAAATGGTGGATTTGTTCAATGCAGTTCAGAGTGAATCATAAGACTCTGGGGGTGCTGGTGCAAAAACATGCAGCATGATACGCTAAAACATATGAAAGATCAACTTAGAAACAAGAAAAGTTCCACAGTGACAAGCTACAACAACATCAAGCATTAAAACCAAAAATATACTGATATACGAGCATAATCTACTTTTATAGCTGATAATTTGGTTGGATGTAGCTGTCCAGGTTATAGCAGCCATGGTTTGGTTGACTGTAATGGTTACAGTTGGATTTTAACAATACTTTTTAAATATATAGTAAGCCTTTCAACCTTACTAATGACACTTCACTTTCACCATTAGTAAATCTGTAAAATATATATAAGTTTGAGATAACGGTGCAGGTTAATTCTGATTTTGTAACATTTATAGACTCTGAGCTGGGAGGCATTGTATGACATAAAAGGGAAGAGCACTTAAAAAGTTTCAAGGCAATATTTGTACAAAACTGTGTAAATCAATCTGTTCTGATTTAGTCTGTATGCCTAAATGTAAATGGAGAAATTATTATGAAAATAATCTTGCATTTCCTATAAGCAGTCAGTGATTTGCATCACAATCTAGCAGGTATCACATTTGTTGGTGAAAAATTTTCAGCCACTTTCTTCTGTTCCCTGTCTTCCATTACCAGAAGAACTGATTAATCCAGGTGTGTCTGGATGATTCATGCAGGTGTGTGTGGCCATGGTTACTGAGGTCAGGCACACCTGGATTAATCAGTCCATCCACTAATCAAAGAAGGGAAATAAAGGAGCTGCCTTAAGTTCAGGAAGAAGTGGAGATATTCATAGAACCCATAAACTTTCTGAATTAAAGTAAACTTCAAAGATATGGTTAAGTAAAGTACACTGCTGCAGCCTTTTTTATGAGATAATAAAAGGAAGCAGTCTTCCCTATGATTGTAAAAAGAGGATTGTAACACTTAATATGTACTTTATATCTACTTTATATCCATGGTTTTGAATTAAAGTTATAAGAAATTAACTAAGAATTCGTTTCAGCTGTGCATTATCTTGGCATCATTTTAAAATAATGTTTCACATTTTAATTGGCTGTATAACGATCGAAATTTAAAATGTGGCTTTACTAAAACCTTTTATTAACGTTAACCTTACAATCTTTAACCCAACAATAAAAGAAAATGCATTTTATTTCTAATCTACATGACGTTATTAAGATAGTTTGTTGCCATCACTATGGAAACATGAATTCTGTCTCCACAGAAGACGAGCGCGTGAGGTGAAGGCTGATGGAGTTAACGGATTAAATTTACCGACAGCCAAAAAGGGGCAACATATTGGACAAAGCAGAACGAAACTTTTACATAAATGTTCCCCATTGAGAAACAAAACACCGGCTGCTTAGAAGCGGGACACTTAACAAAACTGTAACGAAATAAACCGGGGAAAAGTTGTAAACAAAGTCTTGTCGTGTTGGAACGCCATCATGGCCTCTGCCCCTTTAAACTGGGTCAATTAGCGAGCCAGCTAAGCTAATAGCCAAACAAATTAGCCTGTGTGCTGTCAAATAGTTATTTTTTCTGCACACTGAATAAAAAATAAATTATACATATGTTTTAACTGCAGTGTTTGGGTGTGTTAAATTATCTCCGTATCACATAAATGGTCGTGTTTACAATCAGTTTGTACCGGTGCGGTAACCAGAAATGGCTAATTTAGGTTATTAGCCAACTAGCTCTGTTAAATTAGCCCTCCAGCCAACATTTCTGATTTGTGCCCACATCCACGCAAGCAAACACATCCACGGCCGCACACAGCCGCGTCTACACACACATGCACGGCTTGGTTAGCTTTAAACACGCGGATATCCAGGAGAAATGGTTAGCTGTGAGGCTAAAAGCTAGCCCCCCCGCTCCGTCATACACAAACACACCCTTTTAAAAACGGCGAAGTGCTGCACTTTCTTCGCTATCTCCTGCCTCTGCTGCTTCTCTGGTCCCCGAGCTCCAGTCCACCCTCCTCAGCTGTCATTTCCAACAGGATCCAAGCGCCGCCGCCGCCACCACCACCTTTCCCCTGGCAACACCGCCCTACAAATCACGGTCCTACTCAAAGGATCCAGGGATTAGCGGTATAGGTGGTGGAGTGGCGTGGAGTGGAGTGGACGCCCCACGCTGAGGGGAATAAATACACACACTGCTTTATGGGGTCAGAGTTATGATTGAAAGCGGATCTGCGTCCCCAAGCAGATCAAATGTAGTCATGTTTAGGAGGAGGAGGGACAGGAGTGTTTGGGCTGCAAAGCAGAGAGGGATTCCTGATTTGGATATGAGCAGGGGTGGAGCTAGATGGGGGGCCAGAGGTGGCCATGGCCACCCTTAAGGACTGGCAGCAGTGTGTTGCAGTGAGCTTGATGCAGACATTTTTGATTTATGCTCAGTTTTGAAGCGTGCTCTGCGCTATACGCTGTGAGTCTGGATACGGCTGAGGCGGTGTGGAAGTCGGTGGAGAGTTTGTGCGACAACGGAGGGATATGAGGGCGAAAAATAGCCGGAATCCAGGTGGAAAAAGGGTCCCAGCTGGTCCAACTTCACAAGTTTTTTTCTGCAATTCCGGGCATAAAAACAAAACAAGCCGGCCTCCTGTCTGCAGTCACCTACAATTTGGGAGAGGTGCAGCTGAGTGTCTGCGAAGGGGGCGGGGACCTCTTTTTGTTCACCTATCCAGACGACCTAGTTTCGAAGTATATTTAAGCCTTTAGCCAATCATTGGCAACCCCAATGGCCACCCCTAGCATTTTTTTCGCCCTCTAATACAGATTTGGAGGTGGGCGATACCGGGTATTTTTAATCAATACGATACCAAGTAAATACAGGGTCAGTATCACCGATATAATACCAATACTTTTTAACATTTAGGCTTTATGTATTTATTGGGGCAATGATCGAAGTTTCGTCTCCTCTCTCTGTTTCTGTAGCTCGACATTTTCTTGCTCGTTTTGGTTTTTCATGTGCTTATATAAACTTGTTTTTACACTGCATTTAATCGGCTTTTTACAAACCATACAGCTTGTTTCATTTACATTATTAAAATATAGTTAAACGCAGATTCTTTCCCTCCTCATGTTTTTCTGCTCTGCTGCGGAGCAGTTGTGTCGAGCGGAGAAAGAGCTGAGTGGGCGGGGCCAGGCTGAGCCTGCGTGATGAGCGATGAAAACACAGGCGGGCAGACTGGTCAGTCTGCTGCAGTAAGTGCGTGCAGGAGAGAAGAAAAAGTATTGATGTTGTTTAACCAATGTTATTCGATACCAATACCAAAGTTGATATCGAGAGTATCAATCCTAAGATCGATCCGCCCACCTCTAATACAGGCAGCAGTAATACTATCAAGAGGAATGTTTAAACTTTATAAACATTTAAATTTTTCATATAATAATAGTGACTTGACAACTAAAATGCTTTGGTTAATTATGCACATCAAAATACTAACATTAAAGTTGATATTTACAAAATGCATTCTCCTTTAAGACCCTAATTTTGTGTTTTTTTGACTAAAGACAAAATTATGTCTCTGCAAGTCATCAAGGAGTTTTCAGTGAAATCATAGATAAATAACGACTTTAATAATAACTTAAAAATCCATTAAATGTTGATATTAGTAAATGTAATATTGATGTAATGCAGAATAATTTTTAATAAAAGTAGGTAAATAATGACAATGTAAAGATGTTTGCCCCAGACATTTTGTCCACTATACCTTTTATTTAGACAGCATGGATGTTTAAATATATGCATCTATTTGTAATCAAAAGGCTTTAGGAAAGTAGAGTTTGTCTTTATTTAGAAAATATGGATGTTGTGCTCGTTCCTGTTGGAACAGTGTAGATGGACCCTCAGGTTCTGGCGCCTATCCGCTTTCGGCCACCCCTCAGTTTACATTGGTTTTTGACCAGCCACCCCTATTAAAATCTTCTTGCTACGCCTCTGGATATGAGGACTGATTCCAGTATATAATTTCTGTGTGTTTAAAATAACAGAGTAAATACAGCTTTATGCTCAAATGATTGTCAAGCCTACTCATAAAAATAAATCCTATTATGTTTGTACTGCTGGATTTAGTGGAATCCATGACCAGGCGCTTTGATGAATGTGTGGGATTAATCTGGGAGCAGATGAGGACACTGGTTTAGGCTGTTGTTTAATCCATATGTTAGCTCACAAAGTTTTTTTTTTTTTTTTTTCTAAACCCGATTTATCATTCAAAGCAGAAATATTGTCCTATTTGCTTATTATAAATGCAATATATTATTAAACTCTTATTCATAGAAACAGGAAAAAAAATCTTTTATAAGATTTATATGCTAATCAATTCTGTAGGTGGTGTTACTAGATCAGAAACTGTACATTTGTGGGTATTGGAAGTACATTAAAGAAATGTTATTCTATTTATTTGTATCATCCCCAAATCACAGCAAAGGCAAATAATTTCAAAAACGCTATTAATCTCAAGCAGGCATTACATTTTGCTGTAATTCATTCTCTGCCAGTGGAGGAGTTAAAGGTATGGTGGAGTATGTTCTTTTTCCGGGTGATCATCAACATAAGTGGTCCTCCTGATTGTCAATCATCCTGGTGATATATTTACATAAGGCCGTCCTACGTGTTCGTCCCCATTATCACTTATCGGTGGTGAGTCTGACATAGCGGAAAAATCGCAAATCTTGTTTCGGAAAGTAAGCTTGCATGAGTGATGTAAACAGCAACTTGCAAACTTTTTCGCAAAAATCCTTCCTTTAAATACTGTTTTGTGTATCTTTACTTTGCTTGTGTAATTTTCAAGGGCGTTACTTATAACTTTCACTGCACTGAATTTGAAAGTGAATTATTGTACTTTCTACTACATTCCATTTCTAGGAAGCTGCTGGTTACTTTTCCTTTTGGCTCAGCTTAGCTTTGTAATCCAATGTTGCTGTTTTTCTTTTTCAAAATGCAATTTCAACATGGTAGATGGCAGTTCTTAGGACTGAAAACTAAGGGCGGATATTATTTGTAGTTTTTAATTTTAACAAGGTTTTAGTTGTTGCCTTGTGGCCAAGTTTTCAGTAAGATGAGTTAACCAATCCGAGTTGTGATTACTTTGTTGTAATAGATTCAATCTTAAATCTCTATTCCATGGTGAAATTATGAGAAGAATCAAGACTCTTGTTTCTTGTTGGTTTGATTCTAAATAAGGAATAATTATCCAAATAGCTGCCCTCATATTTTTGTGGCATTTTTATGCTGAAGTTCTTTACAGATGGTGTAGAATTTGTTGTACATGGTTTGACACATCAAAACATCAGGTAGTTTCGGAAAGATAGTTTTTTTTTTTTATTACTCTGAAAATACACAAATATACTGACGTTAGAAAATTTATTTTGTATTTTTGAATACTTAAGTATTTTTAAATGTATGTACTTTTGAATACTTTAGCACTTCAAAAAGGGAGTACTTCAATACTATAACTTGAGTAGACGTTGGACCTAGTACCTTTTTCTTGTAGTTGAGTAAGATTTGACTATGAGTATCAATACTTTTACTCAAGTACTACTGTTAAGTTCTAAGTCCATGCACTTCCTCAGCAGTGGCGTGCATGGGGACCTCGCCCCTTGTGGACCAATTGATGAAAAGATGTCACAATGCTTGCTAAAGCACGTGTTACAGTGCCCCTTGGGAGTAAATTGTGCATTAAAGGGCCCCATGAGAGCCAAAATGCATGCTAATGTGCTCCTTTGGGAACCAGGATGCATGCTCAACTTCACCCCTGGGAGCCAAAACACGTGCTAAAGTTCCCTTTACAGAGGCGAGGATGTGCTAAATGGGCCCTTTTTATCTTTAGTCCCTGCCCTTCAAAAAGTCTGTGTAAGCTGCTGTTTCTCAGGAAGCACCGTCTGCTCTGTCCCATCTTGTAGGTTACACTGATGAGCCTGTTGTCCAGGTAAACACCAAAGTATGTACTGTATACTCCTCCACCGCCTCATTTTATTCTCTCATGATAGAAACAGTTTTTGACCTACTCCTGTTTCCCCTCAAAATCTTCAATCACCTCCTTTGTTTTGTTCACATTCAAGATAAAATGATTGTTTCCGCACCATGACACAAAGCTTTCTCCCAGTTCCCTGCGCTCAGCTTCTTGTCAAGGCACTTCACATACAGTGGCTTGTAAAAGATCTCAGGTTTGATTCGGGATGCTGCATTTGCCTGTCAATCTCAATTTTAAAAGTGCATATGTGTGCAGGTAATGCTAGTCTCTTCTATAAACACAGAATCTGCTTCATTTGCCAGGTGCATGTATAAATTTTTGATTGTACAATGCTGACAGTGTGCCTTCTTATACATTACCACAGTGACGCAATAAAACAATAAGAAAAAACATCTGTCTCAGGCTACAGAGAAGAAAGCTCATATATACTTACTATAAACAGAACTGGAAGGTTAAAAGTAGTAGTAAAATGAGCAGAGGGCCAACGATGCAAAGGTAAACAAAACATTGAATAGATTTGAACAGGAGCTGAATAGATGTAGTTTTTTGATAATTACAGTGAAGTTGTTTTTTAACACGATGAGTCTTAGTAAGCTG